CACTGTGGTTTGTCTGGATTATTCAGTCCCACGAGGCACAGCATGCACCATGCTGGACAAAAGGTTTCATACTTCTTAATTTATTGTATTTTTTTTTAATTAAGAGAAAAAATTGATAAAACCTTGCATGGGGGAGATACCTTTTCCAGCTCAGAGACTGCTCTGTGATATTCCAGCATCCACCAGCTTCTTTACCCAGTTTTCTCTTGCCAGCTCTGTTCAGTCTCAGCTCCCTACAAGCAGAGATCCATGAGTGACATGAAATGCTCCTTTTCTCTTCCTCCTCACGGGCTCAGTGAAAGGGAACATGTGCTCTCACAGATGGAAATCACTGCCTCCTGAAACAACACGCAGCACTAAATACTCAGGGGTACGAGCTGCTCCCACCATTGATTTCTACAGATAATTATTTCCATTAGTGCCTCCTCAGAAGAGGAGTTAGAGGAGAACAAAAAGATTATTTTTTTTTTAAACCGACAAAACAACAAAGCAGCAGGAGCAAAGAGCATTTTAAAAGCCAGCCTGGTTTTGTCTCAACTTTTTGGAGGCGCGCATGGGGGGAAAAGCCAATCTTAACCCATGGAGCCAATTACCAACTTTATATGAAGAATCCCAAGTCACAGAAAGCAAAGTAGAGTAATAATGAATTAATCACTGGCTGAAAAGTGGAGTTTTAGGGGTTTTATTACAGGGGGTCTAGGAGGCATGATGGAGGGACATGGGCATTGTCCCATGCTTCTTCCTTCCCAGCCTCCATCTTCTTGGTGATGGTGGCACATTTAGACTGGCCTAAAGTAGAAATAGACAGTCTAACATAGGTGATAGGTATTGGAAAATAATGATAAATAAAGTACATGTAACTTGTTGTATAAAATGAAGACAACAGCCCGAGGGCGGGCAGTGTGCCCTTGACAGACCTGATGGACAGAGCTCTGTGGGTCTGAGAGGAAGTATTTTAGATAATAGATAATAAAAAACCTTGCGAGCTGAAGAATCCCAAATCTTTCTTCGGCTGGGAAAAAGGGACTCTGGGGTCATCCCAAAAGCAGAAAACCCGTGCGGGGGAGTCCAGCAGACACTCCTTTCATCTCTGCCCAGACACCCACCCCATCAGGCGGCCACCAGCACTGCCCTGCTTGTCCAGGAGGGCACTTCGCTCCCCAGATACCTGTTCATCACCCCCTCTGCTCTGCACAGCTCCTGCTGGCCGGGGCACAGAGCCACGGGGTGAAATCAGGAGCTGAGGAGCAGAGGCTGAGGCTGTGGGAAGGTTACAGCTCCCTCCCCATTTGTGCACCAGGCAATTAAATCCGTGTTGCCTCTGCTCTGTTCCCTCGTTTTCGGCAGCTGTGAGTGAGCGCCGGGGGGCTGCACACGGGCTGTGTTTTCAGGGGTTTTAAATTAAACCATCTGGCGGGGCTGGGAGCCAGGGCTGCGGCCTCCCTGTGAAAAATGAGTGTTTTATGATTGGCTTTTCGCAAATATTAAAATGAATATTATATGTGTTGTGTTAGAAAGTTGTGCTGTATTAATTTTCTTAAGTAGTGTGTTAAATATAGTATTAGGTTACAACGTAATGTTAAAATAGAAACTATATTATTTAGGATACTTTTTTTAAAAGGAAAGGACTCACACTGAGATAGCAGCCACAGAACACCTAAATCTTTCAGAGAAAGAGAATGTATTGCCCCATTATCAGAAGAAACTAACTTCTTCTTGCCTCCATCAGCCCTGAAGATGCAGTTAGGATTAAGAAGTTGTTGATGATGGCCAGACAGAATCCTTTGTTTGGATGGAATTTATGCATCACGTATGAGGTGTATGAATATGCAACAGGATATTGTTTTTAAGGGTTAATCATCTGTTAACGTGGGTCCTTTTTTGGGCTTATTTTGCCCAGAAAAAGGTCCTCAGACTGTCCATAACATTTTGTTTTTATTATCTCGTATTGTCCTAATCCTAATTGTCCAAATTATATTGCTATTTTTATAATATTTTTGTAGCTATTAAACTTTAAATATTTAATAAAAACAAGTGATTGGCATTTTTCACCCTCTGTCTGCTGGTGAGTGATTCAGGGAGCACTGGACAGTCAGAAATCAGTGCACACCCTGCATAAAATCGCCGTTTTTTGAGGCAGCAACCGGAGGCGAATATTTTGTCCCCAAAATGCCTTGGACACACCAAAAAGCTCATCCAAGACAGGAGACAGGTGCTCACTGAGCCCCTGGGACACCAGGGAATTGCTCTTCTCCAGCTCCCTGGCCAGCGTGAGCTTTTGGAGGAGGAAAAGCGGAATGGATGAGTAGGTGAAAACACTCCACGGGCAGAGCTCCTTGGGAGAAAGAAAACAAAGCAGAGATCCATGAGTGACATGAAATGCTCCTTTTCTCTTCCTCCTCACGGGCTCAGTGAAAGGGAACATGTGCTCTCACAGATGGAAATCACTGCCTCCTGAAACAACACGCAGCACTAAATACTCAGGGGTACGAGCTGCTCCCACCATTGATTTCTACAGATAATTATTTCCATTAGTGCCTCCTCAGAAGAGGAGTTAGAGGAGAACAAAAAAATTATTTTTTTTTTTTAAACCGACAAAACAACAAAGCAGCAGGAACAAAGAGCATTTTAAAAGCCAGCTTGGTTTTGTCTCAACTTTTTGGAGGCGTGCATGGGGGGAAAAGCCAATCTTAACCCATGGAGCCAATTACCAACTTTATATGAAGAATCACAAGTCACAGAAAGCTAAGTAGAGTAATAATGAATTAATCACTGGCTGAAAAGGGGAGTTTTGGGGGTTTTATTACAGGGGGTCTAGGAGGCATGATGGAGGGACATGGGCATTGTCCCATGCTTCTTCCTTCCCAGCCTCCATCTTCTTGGTGATGGTGGCACATTTAGACTGGCCTAAAGTAGAAATAGACAGTCTAACATAGGTGATAGGTATTGGAAAATAATGATAAATAAAGTACATGTAACTTGTTGTATAAAATGAAGACAACAGCCCGAGGGCGGGCAGTGTGCCCTTGACAGACCTGATGGACAGAGCTCTGTGGGTCTGAGAGGAAGTATTTTAGATAATAGATAATAAAAAACCTTGCGAGCTGAAGAATCCCAAATCTTTCTTCGGCTGGGAAAAAGGGACTCTGGGGTCATCCCAAAAGCAGAAAACCCGTGCGGGGGAGTCCAGCAGACACTCCTTTCATCTCTGCCCAGACACCCACCCCATCAGGCGGCCACCAGCACTGCCCTGCTTGTCCAGGAGGGCACTTCGCTCCCCAGATACCTGTTCATCACCCCCTCTGCTCTGCACAGCTCCTGCTGGCCGGGGCACAGAGCCACGGGGTGAAATCAGGAGCTGAGGAGCAGAGGCTGTGGGAAGGTTACAGCTCCCTCCCCATTTGTGCACCAGGCAATTAAATCCGTGTTGCCTCTGCTCTGTTCCCTCGTTTTCGGCAGCTGTGAGTGAGCGCCGGGGGGCTGCACACGGGCTGTGTTTTCAGGGGTTTTAAATTAAACCATCTGGCGGGGCTGGGAGCCAGGGCTGCGGCCTCCCTGTGAAAAATGAGTGTTTTATGATTGGCTTTTCACAAATATTAAAATGAATATTATATGTGTTGTGTTAGAAAGTTGTGCTGTATTAATTTTCTTAAGTAGTGTGTTAAATATAGTATTAGGTTACAACGTAATGTTAAAATAGAAACTGTATTATTTAGGATACTTTTTTTTTAAAGGAAAGGACTCACACTGAGATAGCAGCCACAGGACACCTAAATCTTTCAGAGAAAGAGAATGTATTGCCCCATTATCAGAAGAAACAAACTTCTTCTTGCCTCCATCAGCCCTGAAGATGCAGTTAGGATTAAGAAGTTGTTGATGATGGCCAGACAGAATCCTTTGTTTGGATGGAATTTATGCATCACGTATGAGGTGTATGAATATGCAACAGGATATTGTTTTTAAGGGTTAATCATCTGTTAACGTGGGTCCTTTTTTGGGCTTATTTTGCCCAGAAAAAGGTCCTCAGACTGTCCATAACATTTTGTTTTTATTATCTCGTATTGTCCTAATCCTAATTGTCCAAATTATATTGCTATTTTTATAATATTTTTGTAGCTATTAAACTTTAAATATTTAATAAAAACAAGTGATTGGCATTTTTCACCCTCTGTCTGCTGGTGAGTGATTCAGGGAGCACTGGACAGTCAGAAATCAGTGCACACCCTGCATAAAATCGCCGTTTTTTGAGGCAGCAACCGGAGGCGAATATTTTGTCCCCAAAATGCCTTGGACACACCAAAAAGCTCATCCAAGACAGGAGACAGGTGCTCACTGAGCCCCTGGGACACCAGGGAATTGCTCTTCTCCAGCTCCCTGGCCAGCGTGAGCTTTTGGAGGAGGAAAAGTGGAATGGCACAGTAGGTGACCACAATCCACGGGCAGAGCTCCTTGGGAGAAAGAAAACAGTGTTAGGACAGGGAATTAAAATAATGAGCACATTTGTGAGAATCTGCCCTAGGGAAAATAGTTTAGAAAATTAAAAACTCCATAGTAACAGACCGAAAGCTGTTAACCAACGTCTAATTAAGCAAAAACTGCAATCCCCTCAACAAAACAAGAAAAGAAGGGGGAAAAAAATTCATGCAGCAACCAAGCTTGCCCAGACCAAAACAAATACTAAGAAAATAAAAATAAAAAAACCTGTTCAGTGACATCTGAAGAGAAAAAACCTGACAGGACTTTACAGTGAGTAGGCAAAACCAGAATAATGTTGTAAACTATCAGGTCTTGCTTTTTGATACCCATCAGAAGCCAAGGACAATGTCTAGGGTCCTCAAATATATTCCAGTAAAATGCAGAGTAGAGACCCCACCACACACACACACACACACACACACAGAGAGAGAGGAACACACACAGAGGGAATCTGGAAACTCAGCAGAACCTCTTTATTGACAAAGTTCAAAGATCATTTGGGGTATTTTGCACATTAAATTTCATGTTAATGATGATAGAGTACAAGAGGAGGCGTTTCAGATGAGATGTTAGGATAACAGCAGATATAGGCTCATTAAAGAAAAAGAATACAGCTTTTCTTACCAAAACAGTGTTTATTACTTGCAGAGTTTATATTTATCACAATAGATCTACTCTGAACCTTACTATGCTAATACATAATTTGAAAACAACCTTCTATAACAAAAGCTGTAATAAAGACTTTTGCAATAAAAGCAGGACAAGTTTGACCTGAATTTTCATTATTAATGTGAATATTTTCACTTCAAACCCCTACTGTTTCAGGCCAGTCTGAGTATCTGAGGGAAGAATTTGGAGGAAAAGCACAGGACTAGCAGAATTACCAGTCCAGAAGTCTTTGGACCACCTCAGATCTTCCTGGTCAACTGATGTAGAAAACTCCAAAATGTACAATTAGTATAAGAAGAAAGATTAAGAAAAGGAAATCTGGAAATTGGTTTGAGGCATTGGGGGGAAAAAAAAAAAGAATCAGAGGTTTCCTTTGAGTAGCTATGGAATCTTAAACAAAGACTCCAACTCATTGTATTGGTTTAAGAGACAGGTGTTGATGCCTTGAGAGGCTGCCTGGAACAGAGGCTAGACAATGTTAAAAGAATAAAGTAGGAATTTATTAAAGGGCCTTCAAAGGATACACCTCTGTATCCTGTACAAGAGCCTGGCTGAGGCTACGCCCAAGATGGATGGCATGTCATGAATTTTCACTTTTATAAGCTTTGGTTCATTTCCAAATTGCGGTTAATTGTCCAATTACAGCTCCAGGTGATGCAGTCCCACCCTCCCAGATTGCTCTCCTCACTTTGCTGTTGTTTGCAACTTTTGGGCCCAAAGCTGCAACGGTGTCCTTGGTTCTGGGGCTGGAAAAGGATTGTTTTGTCTGACTGAACCGTGAGAACTTGAGAAGGCTTTATGTGAAGTTCATAGTTACATACTAATGCAGTATGAATCTGGAAAATGTGAAAAGTAAAACTTAAGGCATCAGTGTCTGCCAAGGAAGTTGGGAAATATGACCCCCTTCCCTCCAAAATATTACAATTTTGGAATTATGGGGCTTTGAGGCAAAGAAATGGCTGGAAGAACATACATATAAACATAAATCTGTGTTTTCTAGAAGGTGTACAGGCAGGCAAACCAGCAGCAAGGACACAATCAGCAGAGATGGCACCCAGGGATGGTGAACAGAGTGCAGCAGTGACCCCAGAGCCTGCCAGGAGCCACAGGGTCCAGGCACTCGCTGGGTATCAGGTCAGGTTGAAGCAGAGCAAAAAGCCAGAAGCAGCAGCGGAGAGCAGTGGGGTTTGGCAGCGCCAGCCGGGCTCCTGTGAGCAGCCAGCAGACACATCTCTCCCTTCAGAGGGGGTCAGGATCCTGGGTTTCCCCTGTGGCACTGGAGCAGATGGGAAGGGTCTCTGCTGGTGAGGCTGGGTGTTGGGAAGGTGCCAGCTCAATGGCTGCTCTCACAAGCAAAGGCTCACGCGCGCTAAGGAGAAGCAGTTCAGAACAGAACTCCACAGCAGCAGCAGCCCGGCCCCAAAACCTCCCCTGTCTCCCCTCCAGTCCTGAGAGCACGTGAGGGCCAAGCCCAGCCCCTGGCCTCCAGCCCAGGCTCATGGTGTCTCTGCATTTACCAAAAGAAAAACCCCCAGCTAAGGGACAGTAGCAAACTGCACCCCTTTTCCCCCCCATCCCATAGTCACCCCCTCTCCTGCCACATCTTGTCTCACTTAAATATCCATTATTCCCATCTCTTAAGCAACAAATGGGAGAAAAATTCTCTGAGAGAAAGATTAAAACAGGAAAAAAAAAACCCACTCAGAAACACAATAGGACCAAAGGAGCATGGTGAGAATACAGAAAACTTTGTATTTTTTTATCTTACTGACCAGAAAATGTGCCCAGCTGACTTTCTGGTTTGGGTTTGTAGTGCCCCATGACTTTGTAAAGCAAAATTAAAATGCTTATAAACCACTCTTTTTTTGGGGTAGATGCTTCAAAACGCCTCCCTGTCCCTCCTTGCTGCTGCCTGGAGCCCAGGCAGGGCTGGCAGGCTCTGGGCACGGGGAGCTGTCAGCACAGGACGTAGCGGATGAGCCCCGAGCCGCGAATCTCTCTCACTCTCTGGCAGTGCCTCAGGATGCTGAGGATGCTGTGGAAGCGCTTATCCAATTTCAGCTGAGTGAACGCCTTGATGTCCTCCTCCACAATGAAAAATGCTCCTGGAAAACAAGTAACGGTTTTGTTACAGAAATGACTCTGCTGCAGGATGCACTCAGCATTCCGCAAGCGATGGCGCAGCCTCTTCTCCGTAATCCCACAATCTACAATTCACAGTTCTACAGTCAGTAGGATGGCTTCACACTGAATTGGGAGCCTTGCTCTACTTTTAAAACCTGTCACCAGAAAGAGAACTGCCAGCCTTCCCCTGAAGTTCAGACACTGCATCATCCAAAAGCCCCGCTCCATCAGCTCTGTCTCCCAGCAGGCACTCAGGTTCTGGAATTAGATCTTTTGCCATTCTGCATGCATCAGAGCTATGTAGCCCACTGTTCCCTTGACTTATATCAGATTTGGAAAAGAAAAAACTATCATTACTTAAGAAAATTACAGGAAAAGACTAATTACTTGCAATAGTATCGTCCCTATGTCTCCAAGAACATGGCACAGGGAAGTCCTGCATCAAAGCTGAGAGCTCCCCCCTTCTTGTAGTTGATTAACTACTTCTATAAGCAAATTGTCATTAAAATTCAGGCTGCCAGGGCAGTGGTGGAGTTACCATCCCTGGAATTGTTCAAAAAACTGTGTGAATGTGCACCTGGATGACATGGTATAGTGGTGAACATGGTGCTCGGTTGACAGTTGGAATTTTTGATCTTAGAGGTGTTTTCCAACCTAAATGATTCCTGAATTATGTGTATTATCACTCTTCCAAGTCTGATGGGAAGGAGGACACAATGGTAGGGGTGTTTCAGCTTAGAAAAAGAAGATAGCATTCTCCCTCCTTGTTTTATCCTTAACACTGAGGCAGTGACATCTTAGAAAAAATGGAACATCTCTTCCTTCTATTAAGTCCTTCCAGTTTCACTGGGATATAGCTGATCCAAGCTGGAAAGCCAAAGCTGCCAGAGAAGAGCTAAAGTCCAAGAATTATGTTTCTAAGTGCGGTGTCCCCCAAAATCTTGCTTAGACAGAGCTGAGAAATAACAGCTCATGTTTTCTCGCAGCCTGGGTCTCTCAGGAGAGTTGGTGACACACGTGTCTCACAGGGAGTAGAATCTTCCAGAGACAATAACTGTCAAAATCTAGAGATATTTCCCCAGAGGAACTCTGCTGGAATCTCAGAGCTTGTAATGCCTCCAAATCCACATACAGATGAGAAGTAGGAAGTTTGTTTACTAGGAAAAGAAAGAAAAACTGCATTACTGCTCAAAATAGAAAATGTCTCAAATAGAGACCATTTACAACTTCCAGGGACACCAACACACCCAAAGAGTGCTGGGAAGCCAGGCATAACCTGCCTGCTGCCTTCACAGTCTGTTACATCTGGGGGGGCATCAGAACGCCCTGAATTTTGATAAAACAAGATTCCTTCTTATATTTGCTCGCAATCCAGAGTGGCAATATTCAGCAGAACAGGATTTTTTTTTGGTGAAGAAATCAGAGGTGGGAGAAGGGCAGTAGTTTGGTCCACGTGCTAAGCAACCAGCTAAATTCACTGAACCACCTGAGTAGGCTGGAAGTGACCCTGATAAACCAGGCAGCATCTTCTCTCATCTTGAAATCAGAGAAGAGGTCAGCTGGCAGTCGGCCCAGGCTGAGACCCAGTGGGAATCCTAAGCAGAGAGACACTCACAGGAGAGATTTAAACAAACAAATCAATGAATGCGGAACGTCATCCTGAAAAATGCAATGGATAAAGACATTTAATCATTTTGTGCTGGCCAGATAAGAACCATCTGACAGCCTGCCAGGACTTTTCTCTAGACTTTCTAAATGATTAATCACAAAAAAACCTAAACAAAACTATCTACCACACAACAACACACGCTCTATCAGATGCTGAATGTCCTAGTTTCCTAGCTGAACTTCCCAAGATAAGCAAGAAATACAAACCATCTCTCAGGTGGTTAAAGAAATTAAGCACTTCAGTTTTTCAGACTTAAGCCCCCCAGCTGACAGAAAATTCTCTGACTAGCTGCAGCTTTCCCAAGTTGCTAGAATGGCTTCTTCACTGCAGCCAAGATTACTGTGGATCACAGTGCAGACTGAGCATCACCCCAGGCCCAGGAGGGCCCTTCCAATGCTCAGCCTCTCTTCTACAGCTGTGGGCTCAAACTCTTTACTACTGCCCTAAGGATAGGAACAGTGACACCAAAAATGTGCTGTCAATTAAACTGATGAAGCCAGTACTTTAAGAAATCCAGATTAATATACGCTGCTGTTCAACTGAGGCACAACATGCTTAGAAAGAACCCAAACCATCACAGCCCAAACCAGAAGGCAAGTCACATGAATTTATCCAGCTGCACTTGCTTGCAGTGCTTTTAATAAAGCCCTTTACAACAATGACCTTTGTATGGCAACTGAGACCTCATCTGGAGTCCTGTGTCCAACCCTGTGGCTGTCCCTGCATCCCTGGCAGTGCCCAAGGCCAGGCTGGACAGGGCTTGGATCAGCCTGGGACAGTGGAAGGTGTCCCTGTCCATGGCAGGGGATGGAAGTCGCTAATATTGAAGGCCACTTCCAACCCAAACCATTCTGTGATTCTGTGTTTATCTTACAGGTCTCAAAATAAAGTGCCAGCATGTCCATCAGATCAGAATTCCCTCCCTACAGAAAAGCTGCATTTAGAACCCAGAAGTCACTGATGTTATCGTCATACTATAATATCCAGCGTCTTGAAGAGCAACAAAATGGAAGGAAGGAAGGAAGGGAGGAAGGGAGGAAGAAAAGTTGCAGTTTATGTTCAGGGCACTCCTGAGTACCCAGTGAATGCCCGGGGCAGAAGTTCTAGCATTCTGTACAGGGGTAAACAGAAGGTGGGTGCCATGGTGTTGTCAGAGACAGCTCTTTTTATGTGAGACAGAAGACAATTTGCTCCACTCTTTATGCCTGAACTTGGAAACATGAGGGCATTCTAAGGACATCACCAGGCTTGACATGTGCAGTATGCCCCTCCAGTAATAATTACATACGTGTTCTCAGGAGGAGAGGCGTGCCAAAAAGGAGATTTTAATATCAGAGTTTTACTGTGCCACATGTTTTTGGAAAAACTAGCCTGTTATTACAACTTATTTGTCAATTGAAAGAAAGGTATTTTGGTTTTCACTCCTTCTATGCTTTTAAGAGGAGAAAACTTCTTAAGATTATCAGATGGACTTACCTCTTCCACAAAGCCACTGCAGCACAATTATTTAGCCAGATTTCCCAACTTCAGAACAAATTTTTAATAGTGTGTGTCCAACCAAGTTTAAGACCTGAGAACACATTTCTATGGTTTGGTTATCAAACTAAGTTGCCAGACCTTGTAGTAATTCCAAACTAAATCTTTGTGTATCACAGTTTCTGCCATGACACACCATCGAAGGGACATATTTTTCAAGGAAAACATTCAAAAAGTGAGCCAATCACTAGGGGAAACTCTTCAGTCAGAAATACTGAAAAAAGACCAGTATTTTTATACTTCTGCTGCAACATCCAAGTGTTACGAGTTTGGTACTAACAAGGGAAAAAAAAAACCCCAAACCTTTTGTATCCATGGTTTCTTCTTCGATGAATCTGTGGTAGAGGTTTCTGACTGGTGCACTCATAGACTTCAAAGGCTGATACAAGATCTTGTACTTGCCCACCACAGCCTTGTTAATCTCTTGAACAACTGTATTAATCTGGTCGTATGTTATACGGCCTTTCAAATACCTACAAATAAGAATAAGAATCAGTAACCAGAAAGTCACAAAGTTCTGTGTTTATTCTTCTCTTTCATCTGCTTTAACTGAAGAAGCCATTCCTAGTTAGAGGCGGTTTCTCCTGTTTTGTATTAATGAAAACATGTAGTAGTTAATTCTGTTCATTTCCTTGATTGCTTAACAATCCTGAAGGTAAAATGCCATGACAGAACCTAAACCAGAAATATAAAATATTAGAAAGCTCAATTAAGCAGAATGCATTCAGTGCTTAAGCTGTAAAAAGCTTTTTAAAATGGAATAAAGGTTGCTTTTATAGCATACCACCTAAACACAGAGAAATAAAGTAGAAAACAGCATGAAATGAAATGTTTGCCTAGGAGCACAACTTGGCTCATATTATCACCACAAATAAGCTGTGTTTGATGTTACAGCCATTTATTGTTTGGCCAGGGCACTGAACGTTCTGGCAGTGGGCGTGGAGTGGAGCTGGAGTGCAGCAGCCCCATGCCCACCATGGGTACTTTTTAAAATTTGTTTGTTAATGTTTGTTTGGTTGGTTTTTGTTTTGTTTATGGTTTTTTGTGTGTGGCACCTGGTGCCATGGTTTAGTTGGGGTGTTAGGGCATGGGTTGAACTTGATTATCTTTAAGGTCTCCTCCAAACTAGTGATTCTGTGATTTTTTGGGGTTTTTGGAAGAGCTACTAGTTTTGTGTTGCCTTCTGTATTTGACTGTGCAGCCTACTGAGCTATGAATATAAGGTTGTGCACCACCAGCATCCATTTCTGAACTCTCAGAACATTTCATAATACTAGTACTAGAAGAATAAGGTCTGTTGATAACAGCCTAGAGGTACAGGAAGCACAGAAGATAAAGAACAAAGTGATGTGGAAATACTAGAACACTGGAAGATTTGCAAGTAAGGCTATTCAGTATTTATGGATGTAAAGCCATGCCTTCAAGGAAAAGGAACAGTGCTGCGCACTGAGAAGCCATTATACAGAAATGAAATCTGAAACTCAAATGACAAGCAGTACGCTAAATACAACACAACATCCCTCCCCCAAAATGGCAGTAAAGGCTGGGCCAGCATTGTCCTGTGGCCTTCATTCATTGCTACAACAAACCAAACCTGGCTGTTTGTGTTTCGCTCAGTATTGGTTTGCAGATGTGAGGAATTACACAAGTGTTTCAATTCATTTTAAGAATGAATGCTCCGGGTCAGTACAGCAGGTGGCTAAAAGCTGTGGGACAGCAAGACTGAAAAGATCAATGAACAGCAAGTTCCTCCCTTGTTTTAATCTGAACAGACAGGCTCAATCTTTGGAGAACACACAAAGAATTCAAAGCAGAAGTAGGTAATAAATTACAAGTTCCATATTCCAAACCACAATTCAGACAGGCATTCTGCAATTGCCAACTCAAAATAAGTGCTGTAGATTTCAACAGCAGCCAGTCCCTGCCAGGCAGAGAGGCCTGCGAGGTGTGTAAAACTGAATTCAAAGCAGTTACTCTGCCTCCAAACCGAGTTTGAAACTCACTAGCCCTAAGTTACTTGCAACCAGCTTTCAACTTTGTTGATACCTCGATTAATTCAGCGTTGGAGGTGCAGCCATCCCGTAGCTATAAAAACTATAAAAATGCTCTATTTTGCACAGTAATAAAAGCAGCACTACCCCCCCTGAAATGCAGCCACAGCATGAACACAGCCTGTAACCACAGCAGGGCTTCGCCTGTGTGCATTAACTGCTGTTTATTGCTCTCTCTGTGCCACAGGGGAGCGTGCAGAGCGAGGCAGGCTCTGCCCAGAGGTATAAAATACCTTTATTTAAGTTCCTGTGCTCCCACTGTCAACACACAGACAGAGAAAACACTTAATAAAGCCAAGGGAGCACCTCAGCTCATCCTGAAGCTGAAACTGGACTGGGTCACCTAAACCTAAAAACAAACGTTCTTTGAGAAGCCCTCAGGCATCCAAGATGCTTTAATCTGAAATTAAACCCTGTCAAAACCAAATGGAATTTTTATTCTGTGCATAACTAAGGATCATAAAAACTCCAGCTGTCCCACAGCTCTCTCCTGTTTCTACCCAACCATGGCTGGCAAACCCGTTAATGCTGACATTTATTTCAGCCCATACGCACACCAATATAAAAATACAAAGTTGACAAGTTCCAAATTCAGCAATTTAATTTAGATTTAAAATAACTTTAAAATCTGCTTCACTATTCCAAATGCAATAAAAATGAAAACTCTTCTAAAAAAGATCCAGGCAGTTTCTTTTTTTAATCCACAGAAGCTCTTTTTCAAAGCATTTTTTCTCTTGGTATGAAAACCACACCACAGTGCTGTGTTCCTCAGAGGAAAGAATAACATCATTATATCATATATATACCACTCTAAAAGAGATAAAGCTTGTAATGGCCACCCCCTGCCCTCTCAAAAATGGTTGGGCTAAAATAGCCATGTATTCTCCCAAGTCACCATCTTTTGAGACTTGAGAATTATAATGAATGCACAGAACCTAAAATGCTTTCAGCAGAAAGATTTTTAGAAAAGAGTAAGAATTCTAGACACAGAATAAAGCAAACATTTTCCTTTGCCTCAAAGTCAAAAGTTAACAAAAACAGGTACTGTGAAATGTCCTTTATCTTCCTCCAAAAAGAACCTTCCTGCAACAGATTTGAAGGGTAAGATAATTTGCAGGTTTTTTATTGTGCAAAGTGTTCTGTTTGATCAGGGTGCTCCGTGTCTGCCCCTTAACACAGCGTGTACCTTTGCTAAATGCCAGCTGCCCACTCCTAGGACTCTGAAGTCACTGAAGCCTGTGTGTCCCTTTCAGTGGCCTGATGGTGTTAGGAATAGATTTTCCTTCATGTTCAGCACAAAGTAAGTGAAAACAGCCTCAATTTTTCAGTGACCACCCCCCACCTCCAGTGCTCACCTGAAGAAATGGGCCCTGAAACAAATTCTCATTCTTCCAAGAGAATACATTCAGTGTAAGAGAATTTGTATTACAAGTATTTGTTGCTTAGATTTGGTCAATCAGTATGTGAAATTGCAGGTACTCCCTCAATCTTGTACTACAACATTGCCAGGCAACAGAAATACGGGTGGATTAATAGATCTATGTAAATTCATGTAAATTTTCCTCCACAGAACAAACATGCTTCTCCCATCTGAATAAAATTAAATTATTTCTAGAGCTCTACCAGCACAGTCTAAGCTGCAACCTTTCCATAATGGGTACCTTCCAACACAGCTGCAACATTTCCACAAGAGGTACCTTCCAACTCTGCTTATTCTGTGGTTTTGTGAATCTGTAATGCATAGGAAGAGGACCTGTCTGGCCTCTGCCCCCATCCTCCACGCCCGTGAACAGCAGAGGAAAACCTTCCACTTTCAAAGGTTATGATAAACTCCTTTATGTGGGAAAGGCCCTCTGAGAGCAGAGTCCAACCTTTCCCCCAGCATGGCCAAGGCCACACTAAACCATGCCCCCAGGTGTCCTTCCACCTGTCTTGTGATGTGGAAGATCATAGCCTTAACTGAAAGTTAAAACAATATTTGTCTGGAATGGTCTGTGTCTATTTTTTCTTGCCACAGCAGAGATAAAGACAAAAAATTCCCAGGCTCCAGCTTTATCCTCCCATAATTTTTTCAGGAAAGAACTACCTCAGGGAGTAAATCCACAAAGTACCTAAGGTGTTCTGCAGAATAAAAATACCAGGTGCCTGCTCTTCTAAGAAGTCCTTTATCATTAGCTCAACATTCAGGATAAGGAAGAAGATGGGCATTACTCATCTGAAAATTTTGAAGGCTATAGAAAAAAAATTATTGGAAAGCCTTAAGTAAAGTAGACTCAAAACTATATTTCTTACTGAAACAGGTATTGTCAGGGAACACAGTAAATCTACAGTCTCAATAACAATTTAGCCTTAGGCATCAAGAGAAATTTCTTCTTGCAGCAACATTTACCCATGCCACCCAAATGCCACTTAAGAAGTTATTTCTATATGTCAGACTCCAGAGAAGGATATCCATTAATCAGGTCCTGATGTTAGGGGAAAACACCCACAGCTTTCTATTCCAGAAATTTGGGAATTTCAGTGCAAAGTGGGGTTTTTTTTTTTTTTTTTTTTTTTTTTTTTTTTTAATTGTTGTTGTTGTTTTTAACAAGTCTCATTGCTTTTCCTGTCTCAAAACAGATTGGTAAGTCAAGACTTGAAGCTTCCAGAAACCAATATTTGTGTCAAACAAAAACAGCATTTATCACTGTTTTTCTTTCTACATATATAAAAATACTCCATGTTATGTGATGATGATTCTTTTTTTTTAATGTCAGTTCTCAAAACAAGATGAGGATTCTCCTGTTAGCTAATAAATCTCTGTTCATACAGTTAGAGTGAGGTAAAGGGTTTGGGTTTTAACTGATCAGTTTTCATCTTCTCAATACCAGCATAAAGAGGAGCCCAAGTAACCAATTAATTTGATTTTCACGTTTGCTAATGGTTTTAAACCATTTAAACCATTGCTAAATGGTTTAAAATGCATTTAAACCATTTGAAGCTATTGTCATGTTTCACCCCATGAAATATTTAATCTCTGTCAGTCCCAGCTCTGCAAGAGGTCACTCTCCCAAACCTATGTGTGTCACCCAAACTGATATGCCAGGGTACAAGGGAAGCCACTCTTACTTACGCAGGAACACTTTCAAACTCCTCTGTGGTTATTAAGGCTACTTCTTTAATGGCTTTTTTCTGTTTTGCAGGTTTCTTCTCATTTTTGAGTTCTACAGCCTTTGTTTCTCCTTTGTGATTCACAGTTGGCACCGTGTTGCTGTAAAATGAAGGAATATTCAGTGCATAAACAGCAGGTAAGTAGGAAGGAGAATTCCACTACACTGCTTAGTCCCAGACTAAATTCCAGCCTATCTGTTAGGCTGGATGAACACAGTTAATGATACTTCACAAAAGAAACACCAGTAAAGCAAGCCTACTCTGTTTCAAATTGTATCCTTCAGCTGACTTCAGCACAGCTCTTGGTTTCTCTGCTACAGAGGCTGCTAGCAGGTGAGCTGGAAGCAGTCCAAGTGCAGCATGGCACAGCTCAGAATTCAATGTACCATTACATTTCACACAATGCAAGCCTGGCTTTTTATCAGATGAAACACAGCCCAGAGCTGCAGCCTTAACGGGCAGATTTGAAATACTTCATAGCTTTTTAAAACAGGTTCAAATCTTGGGAAGCCTGACTCATCCATTAAACTTCTGAAGCAAAGAAATTCTACATCACCTAGCAGACACTTTTAAAAATCTTTTAGGCAAGATTCAAAAGGTGAAAGAATTTTTTTTTCCTGATTATTAGATCATTATTTTTATAAATTCACCCTTCCTCTAAACCCTCAGCTTACAGCCTCGAACCCCAAGGGATTTGCCAGCCACCCACCCAGCTTCTCCTCAGCAGGAGAGCAAAGGTGGTGCATATGGGCAAACCCACTGTCATCAGAACACATGGGCATTACTGGGGTGAGCAGCAGAATTACGTAAAGCAGTACAGAGCTGACCTGGACAAGGAAATAATCCTGTGCTTGGATGTGACCGTCCCACAAGAGATCACTGCTGCACGCGGGGTCCCACGGCAGCGAAGGGCACAGCAGTGCCCCATCTGCCCAGCCCAGGGCCAGGACTTCAGGCGTCACTTGATGTGCTCCCGAGGAAGAGCAGTGCCATGGAGAGGACAGTGAGTGCCACCTGCTGGGCTCGCACACTGCCTGCTCGCTGACACAGGCACGGCAGCAGCTCTGTGACACAGCACAGAGCCCTTCGGAAACCCAGGACATCTGCAGCCAAACTTACGCAGATGTCATCATCTGGAGAGCATCTGTTTGCATCTGAACAGCAACAAAATCCTGGGAGGGTGAATCCTGGCACCCAGCAGCTAGCAGGGAATGTCAGCAAACAGGAGGGGAAGGGGAGGGGGGTGCATTTCGGGTGGTGGTGGAGGAGGGGTTTGGAATGAAAGGATAAACACAAGAACCAAGGGAAGCAAGTTCACATCTTGAAACTTCATTCCTCCCACGCTCCAGTCTCCTGCTGTCTATCCCACTGCAACAAACCTTTTCTAGATGATTCCCCTTATCATACAGCCTTCCTTTGTGTTTCCACCCAGGAAAAAACTTATGCTTTTTTTAAAATCTGGCTCTGGTGGAAAGAGAAACTGAATCTCAGCAAACACAGGGGATACAAAGAGCTTGAGAGATAGTGAATTTGCTTTTTATTTCAGTGAGATTCCTCTGGTAAACAAGATTAAAAAACCCAAGGATGCAGGAGAGAAACAATAGCTAAAGCCATGAATCGCTGAGTTTCTCTGTGTGGGTGTTTTCATTTACCCAGGGACTTCAAGGCTTGTCTCACCAGCATTCAAGTGCTCCTCTGCTTTCTGCATGATCTCACAAAAATCACTTCACATTAATATTCACAGCCCCACACATCTGGGAACAGAAAGGGAGGAGGTCAGGAAAGGAAGGTTTGGGGAAGAGGCTTGAAAACATATTTACACTGATACAGTGGGTTTTGAACAATTATGTCCCCTCTTACACTTCCTTGACCCTCCACTGCACAACACAGTGAATACCAAGAACTGACAAAATGGGGAAAAAAGAAGAAAGTGTGTTTTGACAAATGGCATCATCACACAATGTATTATTACTCAAGAAAAACCAGCAACAAACTGACACTGACAGAACAGCAGCTGTGAGCTGGCTGAGCACAATGTGTAGAAAATTGTCAGAAAAGCTTGGCTGGTTTTACATATTGTGGTTCTCTCTAGAAAGGGAAGAACTGGCTAAAGTCATATCACAATTAACTTCCTAATCACAAGCAGGATAAGATTGTAAGGGAAACCAACATCCTAAAGAATCTTTTGCCATCGGAAGTGGCACAATCACTGAACAAGCCTCATTAAAATCTAAGCAATTTCCAGGATCTAACACAAAGTTAAGACAAAGGATTTCCTACAACAAGAAAGGAAGTTATGTTGGAAAGGCAGAACCAAAGCAGCAATTTCTGAAAAACTTCAATTCTTACACACATCTAAATTGAAAAGGAACACATCATCCCTAGAGACATTTTGAAAGGCTGTTTCCTAAACGGAGGGGTTCATCTCTAAAGGGTGAGAATAAGTAAAAAGCTTCTGCACAAGTCATCCCTTCACCAGCTAAGAACAGTTTCAATAAAATACCTACACCAATGATCACATTGCTACACACCAACAAAAATTACCACTCATTTTTCTCTTCTAGAACCCTCTTTCCACACATTTAACCTTTCACTTTGCTGGAACATGTCTGTCATGTTTTGAGACTGAGGCTTCTCTGGCATGAGGAACCAGACCAAGTAAAGCTGGTTGATTCAGGCACATACTGGAAGCACTGAGTTCACACTAATGCATTGCCTTCTGACAAGCTACGAGGAGGGAAAGAAACTCTGGGATCTCCAAGATTTAAGGGTTACTCTGCAAATGACCCCACCTGCACAAGACACACTAACAACACTCCATTAAAAAAAAGCAGCTCCAACAGGATGGAGAAAGAGATGAGAAACTCGGAGCTGAAATGTCTTAGAAGCTTTCCAAGTAACAGCTCTTGATTCACATACTTGTCATTTCCACACACTTGAGCTACTTGATTCTGAAAAGCTTCTTACCACAGCCCTCACCAAGGCAAGGGGGTGTCATAGCTAGCTGAAATAAATGCAGGATTGCTGTAGGGAATAGAGAACAAGACTACCACAAACACAGTTCAAAGTCACACAGAAAGACAACTGAGTTGGAGGATTTTTGGTTTTTAATTGTATTTGGAAGGGCAGTGGTGAACTCCAGTTCTAATGACCCAGCATTCTGGTCACTAACCCTTTAATGAGTAGGCACTGCAGTTACAAACCCTTTAATTATTGGGCAATGCAGTATGTTTGTGATTCTAAAGGAAGGGATGCTCAGACTCAGAAAAGCACTTGCTTTCTACTACCTCACACCTACCCCTGGAAGCTCCCATGGGAACAACTTGGGATTTTATAGACTTGACCTGACAGATTTGTTGGGGTGCTGGCATAAGCCTGGACAAGAGAAAACTCCAGAATCAACAGACACAACTTTGGCTCCCAGTTTCCTGGTGAGTGTGGAGTGAAAGGAGCATAGCTGTACAGTGCCAGGAGCTGGACAGTGCCAGGAGCAGCCCAATCCTCTGGGCTCAGGTAGCACATACCAGCTCTGGGGTGGCTTGGGCAGATAGCGTGGAATGTGTTCCAGGAGGTGCTGTGCTTCCTTCTGATCTCTCTCAGCAGCCTTCTGCATCTCCTGAAATTAATATCAGACTGTATCAGAAATCTCATCCTACTAACATCAAGCAAGTGAAATTGGGGCAATACTAAATTAATTTTCAGCTTTTTTTAAGAGGTGTCTGTTTTCTCCCCATCATCTCACCTCCTTATCTCATAATTTCCCCAGGAAAACTAATAAAGAGACAAAGAAAAGAGTATCTGTCCTTGCCCTCAGAATGTCAGAGAAATTTGAGCAGGCAAAAGGAACTTTAGCAATGTACCCTGAGCAAGGTCTGGTTGGGGAATGGTGGTGGTGGAGATGAGATACTATGGTAAACTCACCTCTATTCCCCAGAAAACATTTCCACAAAAAGCATAACAAAGGCACTGAAAACACACCGTAGAGTAACAGACAAATATTCTAATTGAACACTTTGTGCAGCTATTGCAAAGATGTGTAAGTAGAACTGCTCTTTAGATCACTGTATCTATTATGATAACGACATTTTTTTGAGGCCAGTGACAAAGACATGATTTTAATGTCCTTAGGATAAAGGAAGATAGACTTAGATTAGATATTAAGAATGAATTCTTCCCTGGGAGGGTGGGCAGGCCCTGGCCCAGGGTGCCCAGAGCAGCTGTGGCTGCCCCTGGATCCCTGGGAATATCCCAGGCCAGGCTGGATGGGGCTTGGAGCAGCCTGGGACAGTGGAAGGTGTCCCTGCCCATGGCAGGGGGTGGGACTGGATGAGTTTTAAGGTCCCTTCCAATTCAAACCATTCTACAATTCTATGATTCTATGTACAATCCTTGAAAAATACAATTTTTAATGTTCATTGTTTGTTGAAATCAAAGATTGCTTTGACTCTTTCAGTATTTTATGAACAGGAAAAAAAAAACCAACATTACTTTGAGCGAATCTTTCAGTTTTTCTTGCTGTTTAACTTCATTTTCCATTTCATTCAGGAGATCATGTACAAGGATCACCTCCTTCTGTATTTTACGGAGCACAGGCTTGCGGGAATTATCCTCACCTGTAAAAGAGAGAACATGAAGCTACAAAGTCTCCCAAGAACAAAAACAAAATCCAATATTCCTGCCCTTCACAAGCAGTGATTATCTAACTCCCTGCTCCTCAGCCACCACATCCCTCCAGGAGAAGCAGCAAGCCAAACTGTCAGCCCTGTACTCCACACAGCCAACGGAGTTCATGGAATCACTTAAAAGTTTGGAAAAGCCCTCTAAGAGCAGGTCCAGCTATTTCTCCAGAGCACTGTCAAGGCCACCACTAACCTGTGTCCCAAGTGTCACAGCCACATGGCTTCTAAATCCCTTCAGGGATGGGGACTCCACCACCTCCCTGGGCAGTTCCAGTTCCTGAGCACCCTTTCCAGGGAGAAATTCCTCCTGGTGTCCAACCTGAGCCTGCCCTGAGGCCGTTCCCTCTGCTCCTGTCCCTGTTCCCTGGAGCACAGCCCGACCCCCCGGCTGTCCCCTCCTGGCAGGAGCTGTGCAGAGCCACAAGGCCCCCCCTGAGCCTCCTTTGCTCCAGGCTCAGCCCCTTCCCAGCTCCAGCCCCCCAGTCTTTCCTCGAGTGAAGTGCAAACCAAACCTCACTGTTGCTCTTGTTTACCTATGTTTCTCAATAGGAGACACATCTTAATATTTGAAATCTTCATATTGATGTGGAGGCATAAATCTTCCAGGCTTGAGGATGCCATATCCTTCATCATCACACTGAGGGGGGAACAAAAATGAAGGCAGGAATTTAACAAAGACCCGAGTTGCAAACATTGCCTACAAAAGCAAAATTTTTAGAAGGACCTTGATCTATCAAAGAAGCAAAAGGAACATAAATGAAACAGTAAATGGAGTGATTCTCTTTTATCATACTAAACCAAAGGCAGGAAGGGATGCATAAAGTGGCACTAGACAAGGCAATAAGTTTCCCAGAACTTTGGAGATAAATGCAGTGTGATATCAGTGCAACGAGACTGGGAGCATCCTTACTACACTGAAGTGCGCAGTAAAAAAGGAGTTGGAATTTTCTGCAAAAGCCAAGAAATACCTAGCTTATATAAGGCAGTTTTAGAAGACTTAGCAAGACTACATCAGATGACTGATTGATGTTTAAAGAGATGTATTTTTTTTAATGTAATTAAGAAAAAAAAATTGTTAGCGATTATTAGTGAAGTCTGGAGGCAGCAAAAAGAGCATTATATATCAGTTACCATATAATAATATATGTATATATTATATGTGTATAATAATACACAATATGCGTATAATAATAGAGTTATTAACCCTATTATAGACAGGAATTGATTAAAATAAAAAGTTATACCATGTGACTGACACTGTGGCCCGGCACTGAGCGCTCACACAGCTCCCTCCGGCGGCTCACACTTAGAAACTCCTAAAAAGCCTTTATTTCGCTTTTGGCTTAAAATACTACCAACTACCGCGCTTATTAAACCGTTCTTAGACACCTGCGGCCTTGCCCACCCTCCGTACCTGCCTGGAACCAGGACACCCTGAGGGGGATCGAGGCCACCCCAGCGCCCGGCGGCAGCGCCCGCTTCTCCTCACGTTTCACCAGGCCCAGCGCCGCTGCTTCCCGGCCTTCGTCACGGTCCCACTCTCTCAGGAGGAGGAAGATGTTCGGCTGGGGGAGGAGGGGGCTCGGGCGCGGCTGCCCCGGCCCGGTTTCAGCCCGGTTCCAGCCCGGGTTCCCGGCCCGGTTCCAGCCCCGGTTTGAATCCGCCGCGCTCGGGCGGGCGTTGTGAGGGCGGGGAGGGCGCATGCGCGCTGAGGGGAGCGCCCGGGGCGGGCGGAAAGGGCGGAGCGGGCGCGGCGCTGAGGGAGGAGGCGGCGGCGCTGAGGGGAGCGAGGGGCGGAATGCCGGGCACGAAAAGGAGGTTGTGGGACAGCTGAGGGTCGGTATCTGCTGCCAGGCAGCCAGTGATAGGAGAACGGGGTATGGTCTCAAGCTGCGCCATGGGAGGCTCAGGTTGGCTTCGGGAGGAATTGATTCGTGGAAAGGGTGTTGTGGCATTAGAAGGAGCTGCCCAGGGAGGTTTGGAGTTCTCATCCCTGTAGGTGTTAAGGCACTCAGTGCTGTGGTCTGGGTGACAAAAGGTTGGGCACGATCTCGGAGTTACCTTTGACTGTAATTCTGTGGGTCTGGAAGGGACTAGGAGGAACGGCGTGAGGCGGCAGCTCTGAGGGGAGCGGCAGCGTGTTGTTGATTTTAGGAGCTCTGTGAACAGAGTTCACCTTAGAAACAAGGCATTGTTTACACAGCGCAGCGTGCGAGGAGGAGATTCCCGCAAATCAGCTTGCCAAGGGGTAAAAAGTTACATCTGTTATAGAGTAAAATTCACATGAACACGCCCTCTTACTGCATATCCTCCGCCCACCTAAGACACATTTATTTGGGTGATGTAATCTTAACGTACGATTTGAAATAGATTCTTTCCTTCACTAGGCAAATTCCTCTCGTACAAGTAATTTCACATTAGTTACGTTTACAAAAGGCGAGAAGAAACCTGGAAGTCATACAGGACAGCGGGAGGGGGACGAGAGGGAAGGCGGGAATGCTGACAGGGAAGGGAAGGGAAGGGAAGGGAAGGGAAGGGAAGGGAAGGGAAGGGAAGGGAAGGGAAGGGAAGGTGGGGGATTCTGAGGGAAGCAGGGTAGGAAAGCCAGGAGCGGGGATGGGAGGCGGCATCACTGAGTGGAGCTGCAAGGAAGGCGGGATTGCTGAGGAGAACGGGAAGGAGGGGCGGGAGGCGGGATTGCTGAGAATGGGAAGGACGGTGAAAGGTGGGATTGCTGAGGGGAGCGGGGAGGAAGGTGGAAGGCGGGATTGCTGAGGAGAACGGGAAGGAAGGGCGGGAGGCGGGATTGCTGAGGAGAACGGGAAGGAAGGGCGGGAGGCGGGATTGCTGAGGAGAACGGGAAGGAAGGGCGGGAGGCGGGATTGCTGAGGAGAACGGGAAGGAAGGGCGGGAGGCGGGATTGCTGAGGAGAACGGGAAGGAAGGGCGGGAGGCGGGATTGCTGAGGAGAACGGGAAGGAAGGGCGGGAGGCGGGATTGCTGAGGAGAACGGGAAGGAAGGGCGGGAGGCGGGATTGCTGAGGAGAACGGGAAGGAAGGGCGGGAGGCGGGATTGCTGAGGGGAACGGGAAGGAAGGACGGTGGAAGGCGGGATTGCTGAGGGGAACGAGAAGAGGGGAAGGGGAAGGGAGGTGGAAGGCGGGATTGCTGAGGGGAAGGGGAAGGAAGGGCGGAAGGTGGGATTGCTGAGAGGAGCGGGGAGGAAGGTGGAAGACGGGATTGCTGAGGGGAACGGGAAGGAAGGTGGAAGGTGGGATTGCTGAGAGGAACGGGAAGGGAGGGCGGGAGGCGGGATTGCTGAGGGGAGCGGGAAGGAAGGTGGAAGGCGGGATTGCTGAGGGGAACGGGAAGGACGGTGGAAGGCGGGATTGCTGAGGGGAACGAGAAAGAAAGGGCGGGAGGCGGGATTGCTGAGGAGAACGGGAAGGGAGGGCGGGAGGCGGGATTGCTGAGGGGAGCGGGAAGGAAGGTGGAAGGCGGGATTGCTGAGGGGAACGGGAAGGAAGGACGGTGGAAGGCGGGATTGCTGAGGGGAACGAGAAAGAAAGGGCGGGAGGCGGGATTGCTGAGGAGAACGGGAAGGAAGGGCGGGAGGCGGGATTGCTGAGGGGAAGGGGAAGGAAGGCGGGATTGCTGAGCGGATGGGTCAGGGAACCGGCGGGAAGGGAATTGCGGGATCCCTGAGGGATCGCAGCGCCCGGGTCGCTGAGGAGAGCCGGGCGCCAAGGGAGGCGGGATCGCTGAGGGGAACGGGAGGAAAGGGGGAATTGCTGAGTGGAGCCGGCTGAGAAGGAGCCGGGATCGCTGAACGCAGCGGGAAGGGAAGGCAGGACCGCTGAGGGGAGCGGGAAGGAAAGGCGGAAGGTGGAATTGCGGGATCGCTCTGAGGCAGCGCCCTCAGTACCCCCCGGCTCCGGTTCCGCCCCTGAGGACTTTACTCCCTCCAGGGAATTGTGATAGCATCGACCAACAACCGCCTCACTATTTATTACTTGGTTGTATAAATTCAGTTTATTTCAACATTTAACAGAAAACAAAGCCCTCAATAAAAACTCAGTTTTCGACATGCTCACGCTGGTGTGTCTCCTATAGACATTGTCACCCATCACTTTTTTTCTCTTGGGGTCGGGATGGAGATAATTAAACAGTTTACACTGATCCCAAGCTATTTTTTTTTCTTATTAGCTACACATATAAAGGTTTATTTTATTAAGGACAGGCTGCTTATCTCTCCAAGGAAGGAATCAGCAGAATCTCTGTTGCTTTTCCGCAATTCCCTGATACATAAAAGCTCACAGTTCCCTCTGTTCTCTATCCCCAAAATCCTGAAGAGCTTATAAACAGATTAACATACAAACTATGAAGAAGGACTGTATAAAAGCAGGAAGGCAATCCAATCTGTGTCCAGCAGGATCGAGGAGAACAGAGAATGTGCAAAAGCAGTGCTACAGCATATTACTGAAATTGCTTAGTACAGGAATGTATCTTTTTAATATTTTAGCAGAGTAGCATGGTCAGGGCGGAAACGTGGCACTAATTCCCCCAGGCAAACCATAGAAAAAGGAGGAAGAAAATGTTCAAAAGCCCTGCTTCATAAGGAATTTTTAATGTCAATAATTAAGTGATTAAAAACAAACCAAAGAGAGTTCTGAGCCCAAAAGCTCAAAACCTGTTGTTTTTTTTTTTTCATGTTTGCTAGCTGCTCCAAACAACCACACAAATACTTGTTCTAGACTTTAAGCGTGGGGTTGTCTTGCACTAACAACCTCTGCAGTAAACAGAATTACAACATGTGACATAAGAAAGGGGGGAAATCCTGAAACTGCACAATCAGATACAGAAAAAAACATACTACAGATCCCCGTGCCTACGAAGAGCATTTAAACCTGGCATTCAGAATTTCTTTTGTTGTTCAAACCACGTCATGGGAACGATTTGAGCTTTGTGCAGGCAACTGAAACCCGTCCTGTGGTCTCCACCAGTTTATTGATTAAAATATAAAGTTTCTGCTGCATGTTGTCGGGGCAGAGGAAGGAAGGCCAGGAGAAAGTTTCTTTCTGGAGCCTACTACACCACCCAGTGCTAGCTGTGGCCACAGGTCCAAACTTAGCGTAAGGTTTCAGAAAGCTGTGGTATGATCACACGTCAGTTTCATCATCAGGAAGCAAGACTCTTCTCAGTTTATTAAGCAAACACCCCTGAGTAAAGAGGCTGATACCCACTTTCTTCTTTCTTGCAGGTAAGCACGCAGATGCTCAGCATGGCGAAGAACTGGAAAAGAGGGAGTGCACAAGGGACTTAGTCCTGCTGTGCTTCTGTTTCAGTTGTCAGACTGAACACTACACAGCGGATGACTTCATCATATGAAAAAAAAACTCGTTTAAAAATACGTCTGCACAAAGCATTATTTTTGCATACCAATTCCCAGCAACCGTTCTGGCTGGAGTGTTTCCTCTCTGGTTTGTAACATGCATTAATACATTCACATTAATTCCTAGTTATCTTTCCATGGGGAAAATTTCAGTGAAAGGCTGGGATTGTTGGGGGATAAAATGAGTTATCCAAGTTATTTAAACACACCTTTGGACAAGGAGTGACTGGAATGGCTTCCCACCAGGAAGAGCAGGGATGGATGGGATCTTGGGCAGGAATTGCTGGCTGGAAGGGTGGGCAGGCTGTGGCATGGGGTGCCCAGAGCAGCTGTGGCTGCCCCTGGATCCCTGGCAGTGCCCAAGGCCAGGCTGGACGGGGCTTGGAGCAGCCTGGAACAGTGGAAGGTGTCCCTGCCATGGTAGGCAGTGGAAGGAGATGGGATTTATAAGGTCCCTTAACACCCAAACCATCCTGGGATTCTGTGACTGTGATAAAATGGATTCCACACTGAATTTCCATCCCAAATCCCCTACTATCTTTTGAATCCCTCTCATCATTGTGAGGCAGATGAAACAGAGACAATTGGAAAAACGCAAGTGAGGAACAGAGGACTGAGTCTACTCCAGAGGCAGAAGAAAGCTGTAGGCTGTTAGGACAGTGAAGATGAAGCAGACCCAAGATCCAAGGGCAAACAGTATATTTTCCATGAGGGAAGAGAGAGGAGTGTTTACCTTTACAATAGCAAACCCCAGGATTACAAGCATGGCATAGCTGATAACGCTCTGCAGCCCAGACTCCAGCTCCTGTGCACAGCCCTGCCATGAAAGAGAGAGGTAAAAACATGTTAAAATGATCATCCAGCTGGAAGTTTTCATTATTTCCCCCCCAGCCCTCCCAAGGAAGCAGGGCCTGCTAAGGCCTGTCTTTTCAGTGCTGCAGGTTTAAGGAAATTGGACAAGAAATGCCTTCTTATTTTCCAGACCTGATGGCTTATTTCTTCCTGCATGAGGAGAGGCACTGACAAACTGCAATTTACTGACACTTGCTGCATCTGAATTTCCTCTAGCACGGGTCATTTAAACAATAGCCCAAAACTCAGAGCCAGAATGGCCATCAATAGCATCTATGAAAGTCAGCTCAGGGGCTTATGCCCCAGGCTGGAGAACCTGGTGTGGAGTTAATGGAATCATAGAATGGTTTGGGTTGGAAGAGACCTTAAAGTTCATGTCAGGATTCCACCCCCTGCCATGGGCAGGGACACCTTCCACTGTCCCAGGCTGCTCCAAGCCCCGTCCAGCCTGGCCTTGGGCACTGCCAGGGATCCAGGGGCAGCCACAGCTGCTCTGGGCAACCTGGGCCAGGGCCTGCCCACCCTCATATCTCGGGCACTGCCAGGGATCCAGGGGCAGCCACAGCTGCTCTGGGCACCCTGGGCCAGGCCCTGCCCACCCTCATATCTGATCTACACTGATCCTCTTCTAGCTCAAACCCATTACCCCTTGTCCTGTTGCAACAAGCCCAGTTAAAATGTTTGACCTCATCTTCCTTACAGGCAACCTTTGGGCCCTGGCAGGGGCTCTCAGGTGTCCCTGCAGCCTTCTCTTGTGCAGGGGAGCAGCCCCAGCTGTGCCAGGCTGGCTCCAGAGCAGAGGGCTCCAGCCCCTAGAGCATCATCATCCTCCAGATTCAGTGTGATCAGTCCCAGGTGAGTCTGTTCCCCTGCCCCAGATCTGTTTAAACAACTACACCTACATCCCTAAACTCTGCCTGGAGTGCTTCCCTCCACGGTTCCACCTAGCTGAAAATGGACATGGCCCAGCTGTGAACAGCCCCTGATCCTCACCCGGGTGTTGAGTTCCTGAGGCTGGTCCAGGTGCCCGGTGCAGTTCTTGGCCTCTTGCTGGCAGCAGCTCTGAGGAACACTGTTGTTCCCAGTGGAATTAAACCACTGGGTGGTCGTCCAGTCGCTGTAGTTCTTAACCCCACAGCATTGAAGCTACCAAACACAGGACAGTGACACAGCAGTTATACATGACGTTATACATATGCATTACTAGTTACATTATATATATATATATAAAAGATATGTTCATACATATCAATGCTTGTGGTGAGTTAAACCCCTCTTAGGCATAGCCAGAGATGCCAGTAGTTCGCAGCAGATTTACAAGCAGCAGTGCTTCAGGAAAACAAACAGATGTAATAAATCAATCTCCTTCACACATTATTACATCCCTCTTGGTTTATTCTTTGTGAGAGCTCCAACAGGAAGGTGACAGGGTAGAGTCCTCCATCATGTGGCTATTTCATGGTGTGGTGTTCTCAGCAGCAGTTATTCATTGCACTCATTTGCTGTGATGCAAAGGTCACTCACATCAACCACATCCCTCCCTACAGGAGCATCACGCCTGCAGCCTGGACACACCAGCTCTGCAAGTGAGGAGCACCCTCAGCTGCCTTGGAGAGTTGGATGCTAAACACAGAGCCAAGCTCCAGGACACTGCCCCACTCATCCTTTCCCAGCCTAAATTCCTTGTTTAGGACCCAGCTGTTCTTTTCCAAACAATGCTTAAATATTTTCTTACCTTTTCTTGCAAGTAATCCACAACTGCAGACTCTGAGTTTTTGCCATCGTACTTCTCAAAGACGGAGCGCATTGTACCTTGCACATCAGTTTTTACCTGTTTAGACAGAGAAAAACAATGCAGATGTGAGAGCTGAGAGAGAGGTTTTAATGTGAGAGCGGAAAATTTTATCTGGTGGAAACTGCAAAATATCTGTATCCCAAATAAGTTGGGGGGAAAATTAGAAGTAAGAAAACTCAAGCAGTGTTTTAGACAAAATTCAGGTGGCACTTAGCCGGAATCATGTGCTTGGGTAGAAGCTTGTCACCCTTGATGGCAGAGCCCTCCTTTGGGAGCCTCAACAACTGTTCAATCCAACTCAGAGATTGTTGTGATATCTTCCAGGTACTTTATATATTCACTGTGTTCCCAGCAAAGACATCCCCATTCCCGTTTGCTCTGCAGGTTGCAGGACAGGGGATGAAGTAAAAAAAAACAAAACCAACACAGATAAATTGGAATGATCAAACAATGTGAGATCTATTCTTTACTTTTATGTTGGGACAGAGGTGCTAAAAATACTTAACTTACCTTTTCCCTGTAAACAAATCCCAAGACAAAAGCGGACACTTCTGCAATGAAGATAACCAGGATAATGGCCAAGAACTGAAAATAAAAAAGAGAGACAGTAAGAGAAAATCCCACAACACTTGAATTCAACTGCCCAACACACTTCACATTAATTTACAGCAGTAGGTGATCATTACCTCTTATTGCCTCTCCTCACGAAATAGTTCCCAAAAGATAATCTAGAATAGAAGAAGCTGTGGCTGCCTCACCCCTGGGATTGTTCAAGGCCAGGTTGGACAGGGTTTGGAGCAACCTGATTGTATTGGTTGATCTAGTGTAAGCTGTCCCTGCCCATGGAAAAGGGGCTGGAACTGGATGAGCTTTAAGGTCCCAAACGTTTCAGGGATTGTTGTGCGTGGCTGGGACAATGACTGTGGCTCCACGGGCTCGGTGCCTGATCCTGAGCACTGCCATGGCTGAAGAGCCTGTGGAACACTGCACAGGGTGGGTGTCAAAGGGGAGAGTGCACAGATAAACCAGCAGCTGGGTCAGGTACGTTGTGCACTGCTTGTTGGGCTCACATTGCCTCCAGGGCACGACCTCTAAGCGAACCTTTCTGGATTACTTTTTAAAAGTAATTCTGTGAGCAGCCGAGGCATGAGGACTAAAGTCAGCAGAAAAACTGATACACATCTGGTTTGCTTGCTTAGAAACTTGTATTTCCTCCTGCTCCTTCACCACCTCTCTCCTCAAAACTTGCTGCTCCCACACTCATCTTCCCTGAGCCCGCTGAGGCGGATCGGAGCATCCCAGCTGCAGGTGACTGGCACAAACAAGCAGCGCTTCAGCAGTGCTGTGACCACGACCTTTCCCTTTGTCCACCTCCCGAGGTCCAGGCGAGCGCCTGAATAAACTCAACTGAAGACCAAAAGCAAGAGTCCAGACTCCTTCTTCGAGAGCGCAGCCAGACTCCTTCTTCGAGAACCACCTTTTCCCGTGCTGGGGCAGAGACAAGTGACAGCCGAGCCCGGCACCTGCCCTGCCAGCGGGAGGCAGGTGACACCCAGGAATGTGGCAGCGACCCCGCGGTGACACTCACCAGCCCCAGGCCGACGCGGGACTCGCGGAAGGTGGCGCAGCAGCCGATCAGCCCGATGATGAACATCACCACGGCCACGCAAATTATGATCACGGCTGGCAGCAGGGCGTACTTGTCCTGCAGAAAGTTGTCGTAGCTCTTGTAGGTGTTGATGACGTACGCCCCAACATAGCTGAGGCCCGCAGCTGCCGCCTGAAATGCAGGAAGGAAAAGTGATCAGCAGCTGTTTATTAAGCCTCTGACCTGGAAGCTGATCATGGATTGTTTTCTAACAGTGATTATAGAAATAATGGCTACAGTGTGCAAAGAACTGGATGGAAAAAACACTGAATCTGAAACTACTACCTAATCTAGGCATTCAAACTTGAACACAGAGAAGACAAAATTCACCATATTGCTCCCTTGCTAATAAGGCACCATGGGAGCTGAGCTGAAAGGCTGGTGTCTGTAGACCTGCATCAGTGTCTTTGCAGAATGCCAAGCTCACACTACATCCCACTCAAAGATGCATTAGGAGGAATCAGATCACCACAGGGTTGTTTGTTTGTTGTTTTTTTGGGTTTTTTCCCTGAGAAAAAACTCATCCTTTGCATTCTCATTAACCACCAAGGCAGGCACGAATGTACCTAGTCTCAGCAAAACAGTCCCTCCTTTTCCTGGAGGAAGCAGATTTCTGCAACCTCTAAAATAGTTGCTCTCCCAGAAGGATGTTTTGCTGATTGAGGCCAAGGTAGAGTGCACCAGTGGCAGCTGCCCTGGTGACCAAAGACTTTTACCCACTGCACTGGGTACAGCCCTGGAAACAGCACCAAAAGACTCAGCCATGCCCTTACTGATGGCACACAAAAATTCTCTCAAGAGTCAGGATGGCTCATCCACCCTCTGTAATCCTGCAGCACAAGGAGAAGGAAGCACCCCCTGTATTCACATTCTGGAAACTTGAGGGAAACCAGCTGGTCTGTTTTCTACAGGTCACAGCAGTTTTTCATCACGCAGCCTTGGAGCAGTTTGTTACCTCCCCAGCACTGTACGTTTTAATTAATCAAACACTCCTCGTGCTGGAGCTAGGACTTGCTAATTCCTTGTCCTTGTTTGGCTCTTTTCCCTCCAGCCAGGTCTGCTGCCTGCCCTTCAATTACAGGAAGATCCTTTGTTTCAGACAGCTCCCATCCCATAATCTCACATTCCTGGATGCTGTCCGTACCCCAGAATTACTGGGATCAGATGCACCAAGTGGTGAAGCCAGACATTTAGCACAGGACCTGCAAGATCCTGCTGCACTGGGGCTCAGGTACAGCAGGTCCTCTGCAAAGTGGAATATCAGGAAAAGGAACAGGATCACCAATTCTCAACATGTTGTTTGTTTTTCTTCTCCACATGCACTGTGTTTTCAGATACGCTAATGACTGAAGTGGTTGCTAAAGCTTCCTTTCATTTTTCCTCTCTTTGAGGGAAATCTCTTTCCTATATCCCAGTCTACAGGTGTATGGTGACCATGGCTTTTTCTTGTGACCCCTTTTTAGGGATGCAGGGAAAGGATGAGACCACTTTATCTCAAAAGGCACCACTGCCCTCTCACTTCACCACAGGAATGAGGAGTTGAGGAGGAGCAACAACACTCTGTTCCTGAACTGAAAGTGGGACAGGAATGGCAGCAGCAGTAAAGTGTCACAGCAATGGGCCCCTCGCCAGGTAATAATCAACACAGACTCCATGTATTCACAGAAAGCTGATAATTTAACTTATTAAGAAACCCATTGCTTTTTTATACCCTAGTTTGCTACAGGTGCAATTGATTGGTCCTCCAATCCAAACACCGTGACCATTGGCTAATTAAGAAGCCACCCTTTGGTAAACAAATCTCCATAACACATTCCACATGTTCACAACACCAGGTGCAGCAACTGAAGATAAGAATTGTTTCTCATTCTTTTCTCTGATCTTCTCACAGCCTTTCCCAGGCATCATTCTGGGAAAGTTGTCTTTTCTCTCTGTGGCCACAGAGCTGCTGCCACAGAAAAGGTGGAGGTGGGGACTCCTCACCTCCATCCTCCTCTGCCTTCGGCTGCACAAAAAGGATGAAGGTGCATGACTCAAAAAGTGTATCCTGTATTTCTGGCCTGGAAGGCTGGATGCACGTGTCTGTCCACCTACTCTCTGCTCTGAAACAGCATCATCTGGGCAAGGACAGTCACAGGGGGGCAAGCAAAGTTGTGCCAGGGCCTCACCACCACAGGGAATGATTCCTTCTCAATATCCCATCTCACCCTGCCCTCTGGCAGTGGGAAACCATTTCCCTTGTCCTGTCAATCCACTCTCTTTTCCAAAGCCCCTCTCCACCACGGTGGAGAAACATTCTTCATTTTTCATCCATACTTCATTTTCCATCCATTTCCAGTGTGCTCAACAGGCAATACAAAGGAAGCAGCACAGGACATGCTAAAGAACAACCACCTGTGGGGAGCTAAGAAAGACCTTGCTGCAAGTAAAAGGCTGCCACAAATTAAGAAAACAAATAAATAAATTATGAAGCCAGTTCACAAAAGACCCCTAAATCCAGGACCAGCAAAGCTCTGTGACTGCAAGACAAAACCAGAAGGTCTAGTGTTAAGTTCAAGGGCCTCAGATGTAAAGCACTTTTACAGTGGGTTTTATTGCAATACTCAGGCTTGTTTCTGGTCAGAGACAAAGCACAACCAGCAAGAAGTTTACTGAAATTTCCAAACTTCTGCTTCCAAGTAGAAGAAGGAAGTGTAATGAGGCAAAACCAGAAGTCTTTGGGAAAAGACTTAAAGGATGATGACCACAGATACTGCCACAACTTCACCCAACTTTTCACCCATGCTTTTTAATTCAGTGGGAAGAATCCTGAAGCCTTGAAGAGCAGGGTCACTTAGGAATGGAAGGCATCACAGCTAACAACCTCTTACCTGATTTTTGCAGGTGAGTCCCAGAGACAGTTTTGAAAGCAAAGATGAAAAATACTTCAGAGCTTAAATCAGAACTCTTCCCTTAAGCCTTTCCAGAATTTAAGGCAAATCCAAAATCCGGTGGAGGGATTTTTTTTCACCTCAACATCACAAAGCCTACAGCCCATTCCTAGATCTAAGATGAAGAATACTAAGTCATGTATATGTTGAGTATATGGTTTAGTACAAGGACAAGCCTTTTGCATTGCAAAAGATGGATCTCAAAGTATCTGATTAGGTTTCTGTTGGATCTCAAGAAATAAACAATCCCCCAAACACAAAAGCCAGTCTGAGCAATTACTTTTGAGGAGGAATAGATCAAATATCTCCTTTTCCATGATTAGTCAACCACCTGCTCAAACCATCTAAAATGA